TAGCAAAACAACCATCCATTTCTCAGCAGCAAAACAACCATCCATTTCTCAGCAGCAAAACAACCATCCATTTCTCAGCAGCAAAACAACCATCCATTTCTCAAGAGGAAATCAACTCAGTTTTAATCAGTAAAACATGGATGTCATTTTCACATAGAACTTAATTTACAAGTGATGTATATAGACACCCTTTTTATCTATTAAAATAATTTCAGCCCCAATATTCAAAAATCTTGAGCGGATCAATAGGAAGTGACGAAGTTGTTTACATGTAGAGACAGACTGGTGCGTAGTCCTCCCCCACCCTGACAAAAACACATGAAACCCCAGTTTGCTCTTGGCTCAACGACTGAAATGTACGACTGGAAAGGCGGAATGTTCGTTTGAGGGCAGTGAAAACGTAAAGAAAAAAATAATAACGTGGAATAGTTTAAATAAATAAATTATATTTTCTAACCTTATCGACTACTTTAAGGTTAATTTGTTGAATAACGCCTGCTAAAGTAAATTTGAAGATACATACAACAACAATTTTTTTTGTTNCCCCCCCCCCCCCCCCCCGTCCAAGAAGAAAAAGAAATAGATAAAACAAAACAAAAAAATAATGCGACTATCTTGTTTGTGCGGTTGCCCGGGTTAGATAAATAGATAAATAATAAATAAATAAATAAGTAAATAATAAATAAAAACGACGCACCAGAGTTTAAAATTATAATCATCTTTATTCATAAAATTCAAAAACTCTATAAAAACCCCTTCTACAAAATCACCGCGTATCGAAACAGTATCGAAAACTACGCTACACAACCTTCGCGACTAAATGGGACAACTTGTAAGGTGGCACACTAACTCCGCTCTAAAACCGTCATAAACAAAATCTGAGACGATGTATTCCCTAACAAAACCTCCGACAACAGTAACGTAATCTCCAGATAGTAAATCTTAAATCTCGCTTCTAAAAAAATACTAAAACATCTATTAACCTACAAGGGACCCCATTTAGACGCGAACATGATATAAACTTCTCTGTATAAATTAAAACAACAAATTGCTCTCTTTGATATCACCTCATCAAACGCAAGGTATAGTCTATTTAACTTCTTTAGTTTTCTTGTTTTCTTATTTTTTTTTAATTGATTGTTTAACAATTTTTCGTTTGTTTTTCTTGGTTTTTGTTTTTTTCTCAACTCGGTCTGGTGACAAAAATGGGTTAAATATTTTTGTTCACTAATAAATAAGGCTACATATGACAAATATTATTATTATTGTTAAATGTTATTATTCTCTATCAAATGTAATATTTGAAAAAAAGTCTTTTGGTCGGGTATGTTTGCAGCGTTTACAGAGCTCGTCAGGTTAGATTCGTTATGAGTGAAAATCCGAAGATAACCAACACGCTCTCGGAAAACAGACGAACATTTCCGATTGCAACACGAAGAAAGGTGTAACTCACTTATGTCTTCAATCATACTAAGAAATACAGAACGAGTGTACGTCTTCTTCGGGGGGGGGGGGTTATAAAGAGCTTATTAAAATTAGCAACAAGTCTATCTTGAGAAGTCTACAGGAAGAAGGTTCAACATGAACTGTTTGATGGGTTTATCACATTCAGATATTCTAGAGTTCAACGGTGATAGTAACAGTTGTTGGTCGCAGTTGCTGGGAAGTGGTAGCTGTCTAAATAAATTGGCTGAGACCGAGATTGAAATAACGAGGAACTGGACATAGTTAAGCGGATGATTAGTAAGTTATAAGTAGCCTATTCCAGGAACGCAAAATAATATGGGAAACAAACGCACGTGATCCGACTAAGGTCGACATGTGAAGGTTCAACAGATGTTTAACGGTCTGAAAGAGATTCAAATTGATGGCTAAGAACTGGCCATTTTAACTGCTAGCTGAGAGATTACGCGTTGTTTTTAACTGATAACTTGGATCTCAGAAACCGCATAAAGGTGAACTGATAATTCTGCTTCCCGCAAGTTTCCTTTAAATCTAATCTTCCTGGAACAGACTACTTATAGTAACGTGGCAGTTTCTTTTCATTTATCAACGCAGAACATCAAAAACACCATTAATCAATAATATTAACCAGTGAATTATTTTGTTATTTGGTTGTCTTTTGATGCTTTTTTTTGTTCAATGGTTAACCTCAGTGCTTATTTACGACAATCAGCAATATGTAAATAGATTGCACTGAGGCGATTCCATAAAATAGCAATGTTTCATTGTCTCTTTTGAAATCGAGTTCGGCACTCTCTCAGTAACGCTTGTAAAAGGAAGCGACCGTGACGTTGCGTGACTTGACTGCCGTGACCCAAAAATATGCTTGCGCCATACGGGTGTCTATAATAATGCGTTAATATGTATTGAACCAAGAACTCGTTGAGCTCTTTGAGCAGGATGCAGTACGCAGGCCATAAAAACTGCTTTTTGAGGATTGAAATGAATTGGCGAGAGGTAATTGTCTGTGATGCTGTTACAAGTCGAGTGGTATTTCGTCTCTCAATCGATCATACCTGCGACACTTTCTCCACAACAACAAGAACTTCTCTCGTCGGCTGCAAGGGCGAAAACGACAACAAGCTCGCCATGCTAGCTCGCATGCTTGCCCTTTTCGGCAAGTCCCAGTACCGATCCAGGTACGATCGACTGGGGGCAAGGTGCATGTTGCTATTGAGTTTTTGACACGAGCCTAGACTGGCTTTAGTAGACGTTGTGGGTACGGAAGAATCGGGTGAACGAATGCCATCCAGCGGTGACTTTTCATCGCTGCCTTCAAACTGCACAGTCTCCGCACGGCCACGCCCGCAGTTGTAGGTGTCTTTAGGCATGAGGACTGGTACGAGAAATAGCAGACACGTTGCAAGGGTTGAGCATGCTCCAGCGACATAGAAGGCAATTTGGTAAGAACTGGAAAGGTCGTAGATTACACCTGCGAAAAACAAAATGCAAAATGGGTTTAAAGATTAATTTTTGTGAAAAAAAAGATCGCTTAGAAGTCAGTAACGTAACCAAACTGTGCAGGGATCAGTATGAATTTCCTGATTAAATGGTCAGTTTAAACGAAATTTAGATAACATGTACTAAAGAGTTGCCAATTTTAGTTTACATTTAGAGGCCAAGAGGCCTTTTTCTATTTGAAATACTGCCCCTCACCCTCTTCAACTTTGTTATACAAAGTTGAAAAATGTTTTTGCCTCAGTGCGTACCAAAGTATATGCACTAAGGTCAAAAAATGGTCTCACATTGGAGTCCCAATTTCTCAACCCCCGAATTTTTTAATCTCCCGATAATTCGAAGCAAAAGTCGTTCCCTCCCCTCAGTCGAACACTGTAATTTTACGCCCGATTTCTCTAACTTTTAATTTATATCAGATTTTTCGAACCAATTTCGTTATCCTTGGAAGTTCGAAAATCGGGATTCCACCGTTTTTCTCTGTCACGTTGTTAACACACAATGTAGATATAAAGACATGATTGATCATTGCAGTTATTTACACAACTTAAGGTCATTCCTGACATTTGCATCGCGCATCCTTACCGCGCATAATTTATGGCGTCATTGGCGCGCGCTTGTGCACGCGCATAGTGAAAACATGACGGATCTGCCTTGATGTTGAGCTCTGTCAGTTGAAAAGTGGCTCTAGCTCACAAACGAACATGGGCACCCCAATTTTTTTTCCAGTCATTGTAATCAACTTATCATAAGCTTTGCGTGAGAAAAGACTGATCCAATTTCTATTGCTGAAAATTGAAT